GTGTGTGTGTGTGTGTGTGTGTGTGTGTGTGTGTGTCTGTTTACGTGCGTGTGTGCGTGTGTGCGTGCGTGTGTTTGTTTGTTTGTTTGATTGTTTATGTATGTGTGTGTGTGTGTTTACGCGCGCGAATGCGTACGTGCGTCGGTTCGTGCGTGCGTGGGTGCGTACGTGCGTGCGTGTATACTTTATAAGGACAAGCAACACACGAATTCTTACGTGTTACTTTAATTTTTACCCCAATAGCGGGAATAATTAGCCGACATCTCTCCGATTATGTTAACAGATCATTAAGAATCCCAACCAGGAACCTATAGGCAACCTAACGGACGATGGCTCGCATTTTGTAAGGCTTGGGTGCCAGAACAAGGCTCAGCAAACCACTGTCTTCTGGAACAGGCCCGCCCTCTGGCGGCACGAGATTAAACTTCTGCAGAACGCTGGCAAAGAAGAGGAACGCCTCCTGGCGGGCAAGAAGCTCGCCGATACACGCTCGCAGTCCAGTAGAGAACGGCAGCAGCGTGTCCGGTTTCATCAGGTTTCCATCCGAATCCAGGAATCGTTCCGGTTGGAATTCGTTGGGATTCTGCCAGAGAGCGGGGTCGTGGTGGATTCCCCACAGATTCGGACCGATGATAGCTCCCTCTGGAATTCTGTATCCGGCTAAGGTTGTCTCCTGGAGAGTTGTAATTAAGAGAGCATCGTTAATAATCGCATCATGGATCCTGGAATATCATCGACTGTATAATAGCCAGCAACGCGTTACCTTTGATGACATGACCCTGAATGACACAGTAAACCTTAAATAAATTTAACCAAACGGTATACTTTTATAAAAAAAGGAACGGGTGGGTGAATTCATTCTTGGATTTTCCATAAAACAGATGCTCCTAAAGAAGATATTCCCTAAGAAGAATCTCCCAGCTCATAGGTAATTAAAATCGCAATCTCGTCTTCCCCACATTCCGCTTAACTTCTATTCCCGAATCACAAAACATTTTCCAGGTATATCTCGGTTCACAGATAACTAAAATGGTCTAATCGCGCGTCCCGATAATAAACCGTTCCCCCTTTTGAATTCATTCTGAGTTAAAAAAATAAATGAATTCATTAAAATATATCCTGACCTTCACAGCAGCATGAAAGACTCCCAGAGGAACAACTGAACTTCTCCGAAATACTTCGAGCAAGGTGGCCTGTGTGTAGAGCAAACTAGCCTGATCATTCAGACACGGCAGTCGACTTCTTCCTATCACACGATCCAACTCTTCCTGAACCTAGGGCAATAAATACAGTGGTTACGGTAATTTATTAAAATTAATTTAGTAAATTATATTTCTCGTTAATTTCCGAGGGAGAGAGTTTGGTGGGAACATCAATTTAGTCAATGTAATTAAACTGTGGTTTCCCATAGGCGTAGTAGCCAAATATAACTGGGAGGCTGTAGAAATATACCAGAAATGTGCGTGGCGTGAAATTGGCGGCAACTCGTATAAAAAAATACAGAATAAATAACTGAACTATTTATTTGCTTATTTATTTATTTATTTATTACATGTCGCTGTAGTATTATAGCGTTGTGTGAATTTGATAACCGCGACGGCTCGCTACGGGTCGACATGCTTTCAAGCACTGTAGATGGCGGCGTCTCTTTGAAACAGAATATGAACAGAAAACAGATTGTGGACAACACTCGTGACAACGTGCGTCTACGTGCAGTAGAGCTGACCTTGCATTTCTGGCGATTCCCCGCTAAAATACACATCAACCGACTTTGGAGTGTTCGTACCTCCCACACGTCAAGGCCGCATCGCGACACGTCGGCGAAGTCCGCGTATAGGCCCATGAAGTACTATATAGGCATATACACGCTATATATAGACTCGTATACTATCATGGGCTTATTTGCGTTATGTAGGCTTATATAGTATCAAGAGCGTATAAAGAAGGAGAGCGTACAACGATGAAGTGGTGAAACCATGTTGCAGTATTAGTCGAATTATTTTGACGATTCTTTGCGGTATTATTGATCAGCTGTCCTACCTTGTTAATATAACAATTTAACATTCCGCTTGTCTCTACGATCTTCTTACGCTGAGATAATGAGTGGTGAAAAATCTGGTATTTTCGCCGAAAACCGACTCGAAAGTTTATTAATTTTAATTTTGACTCATACTTGGCAACATCGGTTTCAGCATTTCACCGTTGTACGCTCTCCTTTTTTATACGCTCTTGATAGTATCACAGTCTTACATACGTAATGTCAGATGTTCATTTAGGGAATGTTAATATTGTTAAATTAATATTGTTAATTTAAAACAAACCGCTTTTCCTTAGAATCTTCTACGCTGAGATAATGAACGGGGCGTGAAAAATTGAGCATTTTCGGCCGAAAACGACGACTCGAAAAGTTTATTAATCGACTACATACTGGCAACAATGTTTCAGCATTGTCAACCGTTGTACGCTCTCCTTTTTTATACGCTCTTGATAGTATCATAGGCTTACGTAGTGTCAGATGTTCATTTAGGTAATGTAGGCATTATGTGCTTATATAGGTCTATATAGGCTTATGTCGGTGTGTAAAGGCTTGATAATAAGAACGGCGAGCGATATAACACCACACACGTGGCGGCGGCAACGGATGCGTTGAGTGATCACCGTCTTGCCCTCTATACTAGTGCGCGTCGCATCGGCGTTTGAATAATCCTACTCAAAGATGACGCCAGTCCCACGCGGCAGATCGTCGCCTACAGCTAGCACAAAAACCACTGTAACGTTATGAAATTAACACGCACGCACGTACCAGCAAACGTCATCGCTACAGACACACACCGCTCACACAGATGCACTACACCACACACACGCACACACACACACACACAGCACACACACACACAGACGCACACACACACACACACGCGCGCGGCGCGCACACACCTTTGTCATACACACACACACACATCGCACACACCACAACAGCATACATACACACAAACACACCATACACACACACAGCACACAGATCACACACCGCAAACGCACACACAGCGCGCGCGCACAGCACACGACAACACACACACACACACAGCACCACACACAGACACAACACGCATGCCGCACACAGCGCGCGCACGCGCACACATACACACACACACACACACACATACATACACACAAAACACCACATACACACACCACCCTCCACAACGCCGGGGAGGATACACACACAGGCGGAGCCCACGCCTGACTGCGCGCGCGCAAGCAGCAACACTACACTACACAAACCACACACACAACCGCACAACACACCACCATACAGCGACAACACACACACACACACACAGGTACACATCCACACACACACAAACAGCACAAGCACACACACACGCACGACACCTAGTGCAGCATACACCACACACCACAGCACACACACACACACACAGCCACAACAACACACACACACACACACACCACACCACACACATGCAGCATACACACATACACACACACACACACACACACCGACACACAGCACACACCACACTGACGCACACACACCAACACGTACACGCGGCACCCGCACACAATGCCCCCCCGGCGCGGACGCACACACACACACAGCGCCACCACAACACGACACACGAACACATCACACAACACAGCACACACCCAAATGAACGCGCACAAGCCACCACACACACACACACAGCCGCCACAGGCACACACGACACATCACACACACAATCACAACAAGCACCGGCCTCGCGACACCCCACAAACGAACGGAAACGCACACACATAGCAGCCCAGAACAATCACACCCACCCACACACCACACACACAACATTGCAGCTGCGACAGCGACACGGACCACGCGCGCGCACAACAACACAGCACCCACACGACGCGCGCCGTAGCAGTAACGTCGCAAATTTCTAAACCAAGCACCACGCCCAGCTACGGATCGTCATCATTGCTCCGCAGATACGCCATGTATTGCAACGTCAATCATTATAACTCAAAGCGTACGTACGCGAAACGTCATTCTTACCAACAACTATATGGGAACTAGCGTACTAGTAGCGGAGACAGTACATGAAGCTGTCGTAAGAACGTATAAAGAATGGAAAAGCGTACAAACGGATGAAATGCTGGAAACCATGTTGCAGGTATTAGTGCGAAATAAATAATCTTCGAGTCGGTTTTTCGGCCGAAAATACCAGCCTCCGGTCAGTGAAGAAGCTGGTGATTTTTCGGCCGAATAACACGACTCGAAAGAATTATTATTTCGACTAATACTGCAACATGGTTTTCAGCATTTCACGCGTTGTAGCGCTTTCCTTCTTTATAACGTTCTTGACGTGATGGCGGCATGATGGCCGAGCGCGCCGCGAGGATTGACACTTTGTGTGCTTCCAATCAGCAGCGTACGCCGCACCTGCTCCGTTGAATAATTTCAAGAAGTGGGGACCTCATTGAAGGTACGTCGAAATCGCCGATCTCAAGACTAGGGCATTCTTGGCCTAGGTAGAACGGCTTTCCATAACGAAAATAGAAGTTATGCACAGAAGAACGAAAATAGCAAGCGATCGTTTATGCAGCACTGCGCTACCGTCCTTCGGCCTGTGCTTTTGTCTATCTCCCGTAATGGCATATAAGCTCCGGCGCTTCTTCATTAATGGGCATGAATGGGCGTCAACGACGTGACCCGTTAACTGCGGTGAAGGTGTTGGCGAGACACTGTTTGCTTTTCGAGAATAATGAAAGGCCCGGCCGATGCATTCGCACCGAGTGGAAAAACTAGGCATTTTTAAGTCCCGCTTTCCGGAAAGTGAACGAGTGCGTCATTCATTGACATTGAAGTTTTTTCTTACAAATTAAAAATAATTCGCGGAGAAATCCTAACCGTGCCTACATCGATTGTTTTAGCCAAATAAACGTAGCGTGTGTTTGGTGACGCTCCTTGCCCGCGCGCTTGTTTATGGCTTGGCTTAGGCGGGCAATCGAAATGGATATCGGAGGCACGGCCACCCTCGCAACAGCGCGTGTTTGTTTACATATATTATAGGCTTTGTGACGAACGTGTTCGGAGTTCTGCGATGATAAACGCTCGTAATTTCTTACATTTCTTAAGGTGATGGAACCATTTATACCAAATGTTAGTGGTGTCAGTTAGTCACGATATGTCACATGTAAGTACTAACCGTAAAATATTGTTTCTAACATCATTGGGAGGACGGAGATGAGTGGTCAGAGGATAAGGTTTTAAAATTGTGTGAAGATTTATTTTTTATTGAGACGTTTGCCAGAGCCCGCCCGTGTGTACATAGGATAGTAGAGCATGGCGTCAGATGACAAACTTGTAGCGTAAAGCACAAATCGCTTTGCTCTCAGCGGGACCAGTGCGTCTCTATCGCTTGAGCCCTTTTTCATCAGTCATCGTACGCCAATGCCACGTGCGCCAAGAGCGCATAAAACTCAAGCAAGCAATTTTAATCTTTGTTATCTGTTTTCGATTTCTCTTGGGGTTCCGAAAAACACTAAATTCACTTGACAAGTTTCATGCGGCCATTTCAAATTGAAGCTCTGCATAA